GATGTAAAACAAAAATTTATGAATTATGTATATCATTCTTACAAGTTTATTTATAATAAAAGAATAAAATATTTTCAAGTTTCATGCACCATCACAGTAAAATAATAAATATCTAATGACTATCGAAACTATATACAAATAAAACAAAAAAAATATTTAGCATCTGTTACTCAATTTCTTTTTACAAATATTATTATCTACAAAAACAGTATCAAGGAATATTTGTATTTTTACTCTTTCTTTATCTCTTTCAACTTTTTTATTTGGATTAAAGGATTACCTAAATGAGATTGGGCTACTAATATTTAAAAAAATATATGTATATGAAATCTGTCTTTTCGATGAAATTGTGAAGTAAAATTTCCGAGTAATCGGTGTATGCATAATTTTAGATATAATGTTTTTATGGACATTTACTGAGTAGGCGTATGTTTAAGTTTTGTTACTGAATATATAAACATTCATCAACAATTTTAAAAAAAGTCAATTTGCGAAGTTTTTGTTAAAAATGTGAAATCAACATATTTAACGGCAAATATTGATGTAATAGCTACAGTTAGACTTGAAGGCATATTTAATCCAAGATAAAAAAACTGAGTAATAAAAGAAAAATAAGGAGACACAAAGAGAAGAGAAGTATAAGAGAGGGGATGGGACAAGGCAACGAGTAATCTTAAAGGGTTTTTGTCGAAATATTGCTGGTACACTTCAGGACTGTCGCTGTGTCTGAAATCCTAGCCTTGATCAAAGGCTTGTATAAATTCAAGGCCAATACCATCATAAAACCGCAGTGGTACGTATCCATAGACCTTAGCAACTGAAGACTGTATAGAAGACGAATAGTGACAATTTTAGTCAGGATTTAGGATAGCCGAGAGAGAGAGAGAGAGAGAGAGAGAGAGAGAGAGAGAGAGAGATGGGCTATTTTGTTACTCAATTTTTTCGATGCGTACATGCATTTTTCTCTTCTATACATAGGTTTGGATTCAAAATTTTTACTGACAATATTTTAATTTTATAATTGAGTATAAAATATAAATAAATCCTAATTAAAAAAAATAATACAATTAATATTTCATAAGTAGCTCGTACGCAAGTATTTTGAATTAATATGATAATACTAATGACCTTAATTAATAGTACGAGATTTTAACATGCTATACATGATTTTTTGCTTTAATGTTCTCCCCTCCCCTCTCCCTATCTATCTATCTATCTATCTACATATCTCTCTATTTATATTATATAATATATTATATATTATATTCTATACTCCCTCTTCAAAGAGATAGTATTGATATAGAATACAGTTACAGTAATAATAAATACGGAGGGGATTGGAATGGAGGTTAACAAAACCGCGTATGAATAAAAGTGCTTTTCGCTCCTTAATGGCAGCCCTTCAACGAGGATTAAGGGCGGTTTGGTCGCACTCCCTCAACTTCATCTTCTACATCCTCCTTTGGATCTTTCTCTCCTCTCACTTTTTCGTACTCTCTTAACTACAGCACTTGTTTGTTTTATACGCGAAGTGGTGATGCAGCTCATTCGGGCAAAAAACTCAATTAATCGAGAAGGTGAAGGGTTGTTGAAAGTGTGATTTTGAACTTGGCTGTTAATACCCTTGTTGATCTTTCATGACGGTGGGTCGGGACGCACCAAGCTTAGATTATTGCGATCACAGCTATTACTCTAATTTTTAATAGCTTTTGTTTGGAATTCGAATTGTTGCTTGACAGTATTAAATTATATTCTTATCGATTACTTTTTTTAGTGCTTGTTCTATTAGCACAAACAAATTAATCGCGTAAATATGTCGATCAATAGTAAAAAAACATTTTTGTTTAAAAATGTTTTTGTAATAAGTTTTATTTAAGATTAAGAATTTAAAATTAGATAAAGAATAAATTTTAATAGTGGAAAAATTGGGTACTTGACAATTGTTCTACGTTTGACAGAAATAAATTTTGCAAAGACATTTCTTATCTTAGAAATATCTTAGAATATCCTCAATTTCATTATTATTATTAGTATATTTTTAGATTTTAAATCAATCTTGCGTCAACTAATAAAGTGTAAAAATATTTTCAAAAATATATTCATGACGCAATTCTCTTTTGAAGAATACTAGAGCACTGGGAAAATGAAAAATACCCTTTGTGTTAAAATAATTATTCGTGACTCCGCTATTGATTTATAAATTTTAAACGCATCTCGACGCAAAAAATGTACTATAGCTATTTAACGAATAAGATTAATCGCTTTTCGTTTTCACAGTTTAGATCAATAGAAATACTGTAAATCTTTAGACAAAATGAATGTAATTGTTTTCAAAATTTAGATTGCTTGAAATATATGTTCTCGTTCTTTCTCTTTCCACTTGTATTTCTTTAGCTATCATGTTGCTCATTTCTTTTTGCTTAGTAATGATATTACTCAGTCGGATTTTATCCTTGCATATTTTTCTTTACTTCTTTTTATAAATCTTTTCGTAGATATTATTCAAATAGGAATTTTTGTTTTGTTACTTTTTATGTATAAATTTTGAGCAGATTATCTAGAATGCATTAATAAATTAAAAATTTATAAGCTGATATAAAGTTTATTATAAAGTGCCATTGTGCCATTATCCTAATTGATTATATATTATATTGTTACAGATATATTGTTTTGTATTATTGTTTTTCCTATTTATAACTGTAATGGTTACATTTTTATTTAATACAAAAAGTATTGATTAAAATTTTCTAAATAATTTTATGTGCATTCAAATATTATGTATTTTTGTTTGTATCACGGATCTTTTTTAATATGAAAATCGATGCTAAAGTTATTTTATATAGAAACAATTCAATATCAAATTTGTATAAACATTCTGTTAAATTTATTTTTTAAATGAAAAAAAAAATTTATTTTTTCTTATCACGTTTACACTATGTAACTTTGTATATATATGAATACAAACATCTTCCGATTTTTGAATGATGATTTAAAAAGTACAGAATATTTAAAAGTAATATAAAGTACCTAGAACATAACGTTCATAATACATCACATTGGCAAATGCAAAAGATACCACCAATTTACAATGTGGATCATGAGAGTAAAATCCACGTCTTGATATTGAAGCGAATTGCGCATATATCGAGGTAACGATCCCGTGAAGAGTGCATAAATTTCTGGTATTTGCAAATGTGAGCGGGGGTGGAAAGGAAAATAATGGCGAGTGAAAAATACAGGCACGCTCGATGTCGGAACTATTATTAGAATTGTCAGTTTTGCGCCTCTTTCTGTTCTGCAAGTTATAGGATCACGAATAGTTATTTATCGTGTACTCAGGTTTTTTTACCGTTTTCCTTGTTCTCTATTTTTATACTTTAACAGATTGTAATTACTGAATAACATACACTATTTGTTTTTTATACTTTAAACCATATGTATGAAATGAGATTCTATATGTGTGTATTTTCATGAATATGTACATGATGTGATTAAATCTTTTGTCGTTAAGATCGAGTGTTATATTATATTTGTATGCAATATCTGTTAACTTTATATTATATCTTATAGGAAATATAATAGGTTTGAAAATTTTCTGCTTTTTCGTTAAGAGAGAATTTATTTATTTTTAGTTAAAGCACTGGAAATTTATTTTAAATTTAATGATTGATTACTTTAAAATGACATGAAAAACATAAATTATATCGCCTTAATTTACAAAATTTTTGTAATTCTTTAAAAAAATTATTTCTTCATCAAAATGAAAAATATATCATTAATTTAAATCTTAATCTCCAACCAATTTTTTAAAATTCCATTTAAATTTACGATACAAAAAATAATTGTATTTTTTGAGATTAAAGAAAAAAGTATTGTAAGATAGGACTTCAACATGTATAAAAAAATCAGAAAACACTATTAAATCTTATGTAGGCATTATTAATTGATTCGAATAATATTTATAATTACATAAATTTCCTATAAAATTGGTGCGAAAGAATAATGTATTTCAATGTATTTGTAAAGTATGATATATTATTTAATTAAAATAATTGGTATAGTTGCAGTAATTAGTATAAATTACATAAAGTGGAATAATTGAAATAATGAAGCAAAAATTAAAATTTTAAATAATTATTCAAATTTAATGAATTGTAAATTCTAAAGAATTATCTGATAGAAATAGTATTCAATATATATTCAGGAATATTTTAATAATTTATTTTTATTATAATAAGATATTTTCTTGTTAAAATTTTTTAATTTAGATAAATTTCGATTTTACTCATTTTTAAGTATATTTTACAGTATTCACTTTTTAATGTAGAATCTTTAATTAATTTTAGTTGTAAGTATTTTTAATAATTTACAATTTTAAATTAAAAGAAAATATTTTTAATACTTTTGCAATATAAATCAACGAATTAAATACATTATATATTTTTTCTAACAAAATAAATGTTCATTTAAAAATATTTCGAGTGACTTTTAAGTACTAAGCGTTGGATTTTAAATATATTAATCTTATAAAAAAATTTAGTGTCACTACTGAATTTTATTTTAAAAAATAAAAACAAAGGTTTATATTTAATCATTTTATAATACATGCATATATATATATATATATGAATAAGTCATAACTATAAAAATGATATTTTTTATACGAATTGAATGTACATTCATTTAAAAATACATATGTAAACTAATAAGAATTGAATAAGGTTAAATGATTAAGTATAATAAACAAGTTTATTTAGTTTCAAACAAATACTTTGAATTTAATGTTAATTTGATATTAATAACTCATGCTTATTTAAAAATATTTTATTAAATATATTCCTCTACATATACACATAATATTTATACGTAATATTATTTGTATTATTTAAGATGCATAAGTTTAATTTGTTAATCACAAAGAATATTTTTAAAAAACAAGTCAGACGTTTAGCAGCAGTTGTGACAAAAGCAGTTTCTCATGACTCTTTTTCTTATTGTAGCTTCTGGTGAGCGGAGGTCAACCAACGACGGCAACCTCACCAGCAATGTCGTCGGGTGGGGCCCTAAGCCCGGGAGCCCTCTCGCCCTCTTCTACGACGACCACAACGACGACGGCTGGGGGAGGAGGCGGCACAACCAGTGGCGGAACGAGCACGCCCGTGGGCGGGGCTGGTCCCGGGGCTGTAACGGGCCCCGGCTGCTGTGAGAACGGACGCCCGATGATGACGGACCCCGTAACTGGGCAGACTGTCTGCTCCTGCCAATACGACAGCGCAGCGAGGCTGGCCCTCGGCGCTTACCCGCGACTCGCGCCTGCCACCAGCTCGTATTCATCCTACCCGACGCCGGCACCCTCGAGCGCCGATCAGGGTCCATATCCAAGCATTGGTATGGACAGCTCAGCTTTCTATTCCCCACTGGTGAGTTCTTTTCTTTCGATAAGAGCTCTTATTTAAAGGCGAGTTTTTTTCCTTGTTTTTTTGAGCGGGGGAATAGTATAAAACAATTTTGATCTTAGGTCTTCGACATATCTTTTATTAAAAATAAAATGTTAATTAGTTATGAGCCATTTAAATAATTATTTTATTTTATTAATTATTATATATTATTATATATGGGAATACAGTTTGTCAATTTATTGCTAGTACTAATTTAAAGTTTTTTATTAACGATCTAATTATTTACGAAATTGTAAATAATTTCATAATTTTTCCAACATATGACTTTTATTGAATTTTTCTATTTGAACAGAAAATTATTTCAAAGTAGTATCTTTTTATTGGACTCGAATTTACTTTGAGAGCTAGATTATTATTCCTTAATATTAATTTACGTTATTTTATAATAATTATTAATTAATTAATATTATATTACTAAATGCAACGATTACATTATAAAGAATTGATAATATAGTAATCCTGGTATATTTTTTTTAAACGGGTGAATTGCAATATAGCTTTTAAACATACTGTTGAATATACAATTAAATATAAATCTTATATTTATAAATCTACAGATTGTAATTGAAAAATTTATAGATAATAACACTCTATATAATAAATGAATGGAGTAAAAAATTTATTTTATAAATAATTTTTTAAATGACAAATTTATAAATATTTATAAATATATAGCTTACTTTTTCAATGTTAAAAACTTGGCAAAACTGAATATTAACAACTTTAAATGAGAGAGAGAGAGAGAGAGAGAGAGCTGTCATAATATAATTTAATCAGACTTACAAAGATAGAAGATATAAAGTATAAAGGTAGAGCAAATTTTGTACTCGGAGATTTTTTCAAATATCAACTGGACTAAATGGACAATAAGCTACGTCGATAATATCATACTATATCATGTTTCCCTTGTTTGTACAGTTTTATCATGTGAATAAAAGTTATTGAGATGCACTTTATGGACGGTATTTACAATATACCTAAACACGTATACAGTGCTTATATATGTATATATATATATATATATATATATATATATATATGTGTGTGTATATATTAAAATCGAATAGTCAGTGGAAACTTATCAATCAATTAACTATTGAAAACGAGAACTTGAACCTATTTTTATAACTTTTATTATTTATAATTTATTATAAAATATTTACCTAATGTATTAAATTTATTAATAAATATTTATTTGTTTATTAGAATTGTATTATGTAAAATAAACAAATATTGAAATTTTTTAAGTATTATACTTGTCGAATTATATACGATCCTATATATTTGGTAAGAATAAATTCATGGGTTAGCAAAATATTTACATTTTACTATTAAAAAATAACATGTAATTCTAATTATGTTTTTGAAACTTATTGATTCTATAGTATTACTTTTTTGACTTTCTCAATAAAAAAGGATATATAACATTTTATTATGCCATTTTTCGTTTATGCGATTAAAATTAATGAGAGATATTAAAAATTATTAGAAAGATTAATGATTCCAAATTAATATAGATTTTTTAATGATATGGTTGAACGTTTCATTAGTCATAAAACTGTTTACATCGTTAAAATGCAGTATTAATTAAACCATACGTTGCAGTAATAAAGCTGTAAAATTAATTTATATGGAAACGTACAATGAGGTAATAACAATCAAGTTTCGCATTACCTGTTGACTAAAAAATATTGGTTGATACAAAAATATTACTGAAAACATCTGAGTTAGGCTTTCTTCGCCATGATTTGCTTAGATGCATGAAGTAATTATTTTTCTAATTCCTCTTAATTCTCTCTTTGCCTCATTTAATTTTTTTTTTTAATTATTTAAAATGTGAAAAACCAAGAATTACGTTTATTGAACATAAGCTTAATCAGTTCAGTAAACTATTTATTTAATAATTATCTAAGCGATCAAAATAGTGATGAAACTTTAATATTTATTACTTAGTGAAGTGTATTTTTATTCTACATTGTTTTATAAATATTGTGATAAAGGTAATTTATTAATTGATCAAGATTTACAAACAATTTTTTTTTAATATAGAAAAATAGTGACATTTGTTACAGTAGAGCAGTAAATTGCCTAAAGATAGTTTATTTAAAAATTTTATTTATTAATCTCTGCAGCCGCATTGAATATATAGATCTATAAACGTTACTTTATATAATAAGTTTGGATTTTTATATTATTACCAGAAAACTATTTGAAGTTATTTACAAACTTGTAAATAAGCTGAACGCAATTTATATAATTAATGAATAATATAATAAAATTTGATATTAATTTAAAGAAACAAGTTCGATATTATTATCAAATATATTTAAAGAATTTTATTCTACAGATATGCAGTGCCAAGAACCATCACATGTACTATTTGTTAGGAATATATTTATTCTAAAATATCTAAAATATGATTGTTTAGCAACCTAAAAATATTTTAGAAACTATTTTGTAAAATATTTTAATAAATTATTATATAACAATGTATATTATTTTATTTTCTGTTTATTATTTAATTTACATGTTGAAATTAAAAATATCAAAATAGATAAATCTAATGTAATTAATTTTGCAGTTTATAAAATAAGAATAAATTATCTATTATAATAATTTTATCATACATCTTAAACTTGAATAATTTTTGTATTTCTTATTAATTACTAATTATTACTTAATTAAATAAGTACATGTTAATTTTAGAGCAATAATTTCGAAATCAATTTCATATGAAATATATTATCAAATAAAGTAATTACTGTTAATTAGTGACATCAAGATTAATCTATTAAATTGAGGTTATAATCATATACATAGTATTTTTAAATTGTATTTACAATAATCAATTTTCAATTATTTAGATTTTCCTCTGATTATTTTACTTGAAATATACACATATATACCGATTTCATAAATATGTTACTACATCAAATTATTTATTATCTTACTTTTTGCATCTTGTTTATTAGATAACATTAATAATCATAACATTGTACGTTTACAACAAATTATTTATTTATATTTAAAATCATATCATATTTACATATATTTTGTTAATATCGATAGTTGAAATATAAATAAAAAACTATATTACAAGATTAAAGACAATATATATATAGATATATATAAATTTATGCTAACACTGCTATATGTGCATTTTATTTTCTTTTTCCATGTTTTTTTATCTTTTTCGAAATAATTACACCACGTATAAAGAATTGTAATTTGAAATTACATAATTTTAGGGATAGAGGGTCACAATAAGAGTAAATGAAGTAAAATAATATTGTATATATAATACATTCGTAGTAATTATTAATATAATTAAACGTTAACATTTTATTATAAATAAAAATGATTTAAATTATATTACAATTTGTAAAATTGATATATATTTATTATCCAAATTTTATTAAATCAAATACAACCAGATTTCTGTAATGTTCATTATTTTAATTTATCATAATCAAAGATCGAAACAGACTTTCCAAGTTTAATCAACTAAACAGACGTCATTGTATTGGGGTCAAAACAAAACCATTCGTTATAAAACACATAATTACAATTTACTGCATTTGCAATTATATGTACATTAAGTATTATAATCACTTTTAATCTTCATTATACTCTATACTTGGTATTTATTCGTTAAATAATGAAATAATCAATCAAATTCTGAAAACTGGCCAAACCAGATCACGAAATATTGATATTGAAAACGACAGTGACTGAATGTAATTATTTAATAAGATTATAATATATAAATAATGTAATTATTTAATAATATTATATATCATTATCAATTATAATATATAATTAACACATATAAATTTAATAGAATTTAATATATAGATTTTATGAATTATAGATTAATGAAAACATCTATATTATTACATTATCCTATTGTTATTATTATTCTTATATTCGCTTATATTTTAACATTGTAAATAAAATATAATTCTTTAGATTAATTATTATTCTTTAGGATTTTAAGATTTTATTCAACTTTAATTTCAAATTTAAGATTATTCATTATTATAAGTCTTTTCCAGGCTTATCTGTAGTAATTATTATTATCAATAGTTGTTTAAATTTGTGACAAAAATTTTTATATTTACTCTTATATATTCACTTTGTTAGTTATAAATTAAGAAAAAACAGTAATCAGAATTAAAAAATATTAAGAAAAAATGTTATAGAAATATGAAAACATCAATCTTATCATTAGACATTATTATGCCTATATAACTTAGTAGAATATCTTTTAATATTTGATGCCCAAATATTTACACACAACAATTTTACATAAAAAATTTTTCTTTCTCCATTTCAATCATTATCGTTACTTTAAAAATATCTCTTTTTATTTCGATCTCTTTTTTTGTTTCTCTGAATTTATTTTTAGTACATTTTTTCTAGTTTCACCGAAAAATCTTTTACTTTGAAATTACGTTTTAATACTCTACTATTGTGACAATGTGCTTTTCACTACTTTCTTCTATTACTCCTCATACTTTTTTTTCTAGATAAATAATGCGTAATTAATACTTTTGTTTGTGTTATAATTTTGTGAATATTAAATTAAAGTTCATATGTACACATTGTTTGCGCATACAAACTCTTTTCTCATCGACTTCTTTTTAATATCAATGAATTCGAATAATTTGTTATACATATTTATGAACTTTGACTCATTTAAATAAAAGACAAAATCATACATGTGTATGTATGTATTTCTCTAACTTAAATTCTTTGCGTCTTTTGTAAATTATTTTTATTACATAGGATTTAAAATATCATATTTTATTGTTTATATTCCTATCTTTTGCCTTTTAAAAATACATAAGAATGAAATTTATAATTAAATTATTATATCGATTCAACGATAAATTGTTAGTTTTAACAGAAAATAAAAAAGATGTTTTAATTTTTTAATTATTTATTCGAAATTGGTACAATTTTTCTTAAAAACGTATTCAATTTAGACTATATTTTTTTAGAACAACTAGTATGTATCACAAATTATTAAAATGGCTTTGAAAGAAAAAATTATTATTTTGTCCAAAATTTTTTTAAGGATATATTACATAAATTAATCATGAATGGAAAATTGGAAACTATTATTTTAATGAAAATTTATGATAATTTGAATAATTTTTTATCATTTTTTTCAGTATATTATATTTTTATAAATATATTTTCATATTGATCTTGTAATATTAATAAAAATGTTCTCAGGTTCATAAAATACATATACCAGCTCGGAACCATGTTATTCTTATAAACCAATGGTGTACAATCGCCACCAATTAGCCAGCAGTAAAGTGTTGTATATAAATTCACATGAGTCAAGTTGTGTATTCGAGGCCCTTCATGCACGCATGCATAATTCTCCAGCCAAACCCAAGGCGCTAGGATTATAGCGACTATTTGCAAAAAAGTGCGTAAGCAAAAAGTGAAAAAGTTCAAGAAGTGCGAGACTGACTGAAAGACGATTGGGGGGGGGGGGGGGTAGCGTCGTTACGACGCAACACCGCATTGTAATATAATAAGAATCAGATTAGCATTGAATGAAAATGGGCGGTGCGCGGCGGGAGGCAATAACGCGTTCTCTTTCTCTCTCTTAGTATTTCTCCTGCACCTCCGCCTTTTGAAACGTGCACGGTGGTCCCTACGTATGCGAAAAATGAGAATAATGAAGTATAAGGGCTTGAAAGGAGGACATTGCTTTGCATGGTTGTACCTGCCTTTACGTTTTCTCGATTTGTGAGATCGTCCTACTTCATTTCCATCATTATTTTCACATGCTTTGTCACCTCTGAGAAATAAACAGAATATTGCAATTACTGTGATAATGTGAACAATTCAAATAATTTATAATTCTTGTAGAAATTCATCGATGGTCATGCAATTAATATGGGAAAAGTGTTTAAAGTTACACACATGTGTATTTTATATTGCTTTTATCTTTATGTAGGGACAATTTGAAATTTGAAAAATATAATATATATATATATATAAATATATATATAATATAAATAAATATAAAATCCGATTTGAAAAATATTTCAAATCCGTGTGTTTAAATTAGAAAATTTAAGATGAAAAAATATGTCAATAAATCTCAATTATGCCGTTCGAAAAACTTAGACCTTCACTTTCTTTCAACAAGTCGCGCTATTAAGATTTTTCGTACAAGCAAGACAATGAAAAGAATAAAAATGTTTCGAGATCGCGGAACAGTACAAATTGATTTATGCGAGACGAAGACAATTGAAAAGCAAGGAAGAGCACGGAATTCCTTAAGATAGTAACATCGCTCTCTTTCCATGGGCAATTGTAAACGATCAGACAAAAAATTATAAGAATTTTAATCGTGTGTGTACATATACATACGCCCGACAAAATTATTGCCGGGATGTATGAGGGGCTGGTGCAGGAAGAATATATAACTATGTGACAAGCATAATGCACGGGATGCACTTGCACATGATTCTCTGCTCTTTGATCTCTTTTCTTGCATTTCTCATACCGACTCCCTACTCACTATTATCTTGTTCTCTCGCTCTTTGGTCTATACGTGACACATTCTCATACAAACGACGAGGAGAAATGTGCGCACCATTTTCAGTCGAATAACAATAGTTGATCCCGGACCACCCGCGGTCCGCCATTAAACAAGCACTCAAAGGAGCACTCGCTTGCTCGAAATTCCTCGCTTAAACCTAACTCGTTACTTCTATACTTCCTTGAGTACTACATTTTGCTAGGATAACCTCCAATTATACTAACACTAAAGAGTCGAATATGTAGAGATTATATTCTTTGTACAAGAATTTGTAAGCATATTGACTGGATGTAGAAACATCGACGTCGATATCTCTTGATTTCCGTTCTTTTTTATGCTGTTATTAAGTATTGTTTCATTGTCTTATTGCAATTATTATATTCTATTTTTTTAATAGTTTTAATTTCTATCATTTTTCATTATTTCGAAAAATTTTTATTTATTTTGTGTATAGGAAGCTTTCTTGTTTACAATACAATAATCTATAATTGTATCAATAATAGTTTTTTAAATATTATCTCTTATATACTAATGAATAGTATACGAATATAAAAAAAAAGTTCAGTTTTTGTCCGTAGTACATTTTGTTGTTGATAAATGAAAATTAAATGTAATGAAAATATAAATTTTATATTCATAATCTTTGAACACCTAATTCCAGTCTGAAGCTCCAAAATATATTCCAAAATTATATTACAATATTCAAATTTGTATTTGAAAAATTGACATATTTTAATAACAAAATGTAATTAATATCTTATTTTTATTAAAAAAATTAATTGACATTTAATTTTTAATTAAAAACAAATACCAAAGTATAAAAAAAGTTATAGTAATAAAATAATGATATAAAATATAATTAATTTCTAGAGAAATAGGTATTCAAAGTTATATAGTGGCTTAAATTGAATTTTCAAGGGACTTTATAATATAAAGAACTCGTAATATTATTTCAGTTTACATATTAAACATGCTAAATTATTCAAGCAATTATTGATAAATACTAATGAAGATTATATATTTTTGTAGATATAAATAATTTTATTACCACCTAGTATATGAATATAAATGTAATATTATTAGTTTTAAGATATTAATTATAAAATCAGATGTACATTTTATAATTTTCATTAAAAATTTATATAGTACTTTAATATTTTTAACAAATAGCTTAAAATTTATTTCTCAACTTATTTAAATTTTAACTCGCTTATTACAAAATAAATTTATATCATACAAGATATTTATATTTTATGTAATATACGGTGTTATGAATCAAAGCTCTCAATAATTAACGTTAACGATCAAACTAAGAACCTTATGCCTCATTTATGTAAGAAAAGGAGGAGAATAACAGCTTCTTCTTAGGGACAGATAGACGCGGCGTATAAAAAGAACACAGGAGAAATGGTAGGATGTATGTTCTGGAGCCGCGGAATTAAGAAATAAGAAGACGGTGGGGAAACGAAATACGAAACTCGCTGGCGCCAGTGACAAAGGCACCAACGGCTTTCTCTAAGCTCGAGGACTAATAATATCCTATTGTGCTACCGTTGGCGGCGTACCTCTTAAAGTAGTCGCACAGTCTCTGATGTTTACAGCAAGATAGTTCGAAAAGCACGCAATCCTCAAAATGAGCAAGTTTTCTAATACTGGAAAAATTTATGATTTCAAATGTAGTTATGTAAATGACTTTTGTTTTGCGGGTTACCATTTATTGTAGAGAAATGTTGTATGTACTTCAATAATAATATTTACAGTAAAAAATACAGTAAAAATGCAGAATAAATAGAATTAAATATTTAACTAAATATATAATATATTTTTAAGATTATATTAATAGGATCGAAATGATTGTAGCATTGATTGTAATTATTATAGTTGGTTCTCAATAATTCTCAATAATTCAATAATTAAATAATCTCAACAAATTCAATAACTTAAAAATATCCCTATTTTTAAAATTCTAATAATTATTATTCGCAATAGTATTCATTTATTTTTTAATAAAATAATCAAATTTTTTATATTTACATTTATTTTTGTTCCAACTTCATTTCTTAAAGACCAATAATGCCTTATTTTATTTAATCTTTATAAATTATAAATTTAATCACGCTTTTAAACCTTGATTAATCTCATATTACTAAATTTTTTACATTTTATTTCTATAAATCTTCAAGGGTATAACTGAACTTTTAGTTTCGTTCACATTTTTATTTAAGAAATTTATATTTTATTATAGAATTGTGATAGAGTTACAGAATCGTTTCAATATAATGACAAGTGAAAAATAAGATAAAATATAGCAATCTAAACTGATAACTTTTTTAGGCATGAAGTGTAACAGTAAACTTAAAGAATATCGAGCATCTTCGATGCGTTGGGAAAAGTAATGTAACAACACAATGGACGTCACCGAGCGAATGGTTAACGTATCTCGCTTTCCTCCTGTTTTAGGGAAATCCCTACGGTCTAAAAGACGCTACAGGAATGGGAATGACGGCAGATATGGGAGCAGCTTGGGGCACGGCAGCTCTCCAACCTGCGACCACTGGTTACTATCCCTACGATCCGACCCTCGCAGCCTATGGGTATGTATTTTTACCCTTTTCCTTAGCAATGTTTTTTCACTCCGGTCGTAGACAAATGAACTTAATTTGACATTGTTAATACCCTGTCTCTTCTTGCATGTGTTTATAAATTTGCTGATAACTGCAAGTATAATAAATGTTTTTAATAAGTACTTTTAATGATAATTTAGTAACTTCAATTTTGTAATAATTTCCCGAGAATGAAATTATGTTTCATTATTCGCAGTTCAAATAACATATGGCTCATAATATTTAAGTATAAATAAATATTTTAGCATAGACATATAAACACAATGTTCATTATGTCGCCTCATCATTTTCGGAATTCTCGTGGTTGAAATCAATAATTTAGTTAGTTTATTCTATAGCTGCTGGAATAAATAAATAAAAGTACAATAACAAAAATTAAAGAAATATAACCAAAATATAAATATAACATGATCCTAAATTTTGTTATCGTCGTTAAGAGTCATGTGGTACTTAAAACCGCACATGTGATTTCATAAAAATATATGCGGTAAAACGAGGGAGAGAGAAAGGGAATATGTCAAATGCAAAGAGGAGTCGTTCTTTTGAAAAGTGAGATTAACGTAAAGGCACTATGTATTCGACATAGAAGAACCATAAAATAGGACAGAGGTAGAAAAGATTTAATGAACGAGGGGAAAACATTCAAGGAAATGATAAAATTGATTGACAGATTGTTTTATTTTTGGTTAAAAATGTATTTATAAAATGTTTTTTTATAGATCCGTTATTGAAAATGGAGGCTAATAACTGAGATGCTTTAATTAATTAATAAATTCATGTAAAACTGCCTCTTTTATTTAATTAAGATTTATTTTATTCCTGAATATCGCTGATATTCAATTATATAATTGTAAAATTGTGTAAAGAAAATTAATTTTATTACACAAGAATGATTCTTCTAATTAAAGTATAAAATGCAAAACAATAATCGGTATTTATTTTAATATATTCAAAATATTTTTATGTGCTCAATTTGGTATTTATAAATGTTTGTAAAATATAATAATAATGTAAAAAATTGAAACAATTAATATTATAAAATAAATAAAAAATATTTTTTAACTCTATAAAATATTAAGATTAAAGAGCCATCAAAATAACATTTAATATAAATTGTAAATCTTTTAGAAAGTACAAAATAAAAATAAATTTTAATACAGAATTTTTCTTCGTTTTTTTGTTTTTTTTTTTTGAAACGAGATATTATGAAAGTAAATGGATGACTTTTATATCCCTCTGCTTGATCCCGTTATGCAAAATAATACTAAAAATAGCATAAAATTAACCTGAAATTTCAAGTAGACACGTCAGCGCGATTCAGAAAATGGCGGACGGAGAAAGAGGTTACGAAAAGCATTTGCTCTGGAATTAATATCTAAAAGGTGCGTCGGTTGGAATGAACTGTCATTGTATATTCTGTCTTTAGTTATCCTTCACTGGGTGGATTTCACTTCGCAGCACCCGCTGTATGAGAGTACGCGGGTTATTCTGTTCGTTATCCTGTACTTTTTAATCACCTTCCAAGTTTCTATCTTTCGATTGTCATGACATGTTTACGGATTTCGTTAAACTCATTGGTGTCATTTTGCGCTTCTTTGATTCCTAAAGGCTCTGTTAGAAATCCTCTGCAAATACGACAATGATATTTTATTCTATTGCTTACGGTATGTATAAGTGTACGAAAAATGAGTGTATCACGTATGTAAATTGATGTACTAAAAATATCGATAAAGTTATATCGATGATAATATGTATTAAACAAAGACAACGCGATAGCCATGAAAAGTTAGATTACATTAGATAGTATGATTGAACTGTTTTCTGAAATGCCGTAAGATCTAACTTTATTTGAGTGAAAGTTGACAAGATACGCATTGGAATGCTGCCTATAGCTCATGAAAAATCCAAAATAATCCGCCTAAGCGCTCGCGCGCTAAATCCAGCGAAACAAATGTATATCCCTTTAAAACCCCATCGCACGGAAGAACTCGTGCATTGTCCGTGCCGTTTACTTTCGTTCTCCTCCCGCGTATCTATCGCTTCATCCCTTCGTACGACGTCGGAATATCGAGGGTTGAAAGCCCCGCGATTGGCTCGCCACAAGGACGTACACGGTGAATGTATTATCGGTCGAATGCTTACAAAATGGCTGTGGCTTACAAAGGGGGAAGAGAGAGAGAGAGAGAGAGAGAGAGAGAGAGAAACAGATCCAGCAGCAGTAGTGCGATAGATAAAAATATTTATATTTATAAATAAATGGAGAAAGATAAAAAATGCATATTGTACTAAATAGAGTTAATTATGATAGACAACAAAATGCTTTTCGAATTTGGTTTTATATATTTTTATGTATTATTTTTTGTAAACACTTCATGCATTTAACTTAGTTGAATATTTTTTATTTATTTAAAGGGTTTAATACAGAATTCTTATAGAAATTTCATAAATGATAAAAATTGATCTAATTAAAATATATTACTTGATAAACAGTATATTTTATTAAATACAATTATATTAAATACATATCAAACAATTTTTTATTAAATAAAAAATATAAATATCGATTATACAATAACAAAATTAATTTGAAATCTTTTTCTATGCTTGATTCTTATATCCTTATATTTATTAATTGAATATTCGATTTCTTTAATTAAAATATTTTAATTTAATTTTAATTATAACATAATTTTAATCATAACTTAATTTTAAATTGAACTTTAATATTTTGAATGTAATTTTAATTTTTTTTATAATTTATCATTGTACGAATTATAATTCAACCATCATAGTTTAATAAACAATCATAAATTTAGATACTAATTGGAAAAATATTTTGTAATATATGTTATATTACATTATTATTGTATATATATATATATTATGTATTTGATCATTAGTAGTGAAAATATATATTTAATTTTAATATTCACTTTTCTATCCTATATAAGAGCTGCACTTCTCCATGAATTTCTATCGTCATCTGTTGCGTGACATAAATGTTTTATGTAAAATTATTGAATTTGCAGTATACATGCACTAATTATACAGTAATTTATAATCTTATTATGAGAATTCAAAGTTTAAGATGAATAACAATCCATGCAGCTGGTATACAAATATATGACAATTTGATAAATCGAAATTTAGTATTTAAATCGCATGGAAGGAAATGTTAAAAGTATGGAATAAATAATGTACCATCGCCTGACAAAAGAAGAGTTTTAGAGTAAAATAGAAGGAGATTATAGAGTACTACGGAAGGGTAGAGAGTGGGCGTGCATAATATGGAGACTACTAGTCTAGGTAGCTCACCAAGAGAAATTTAGTGATCGTAGCGTAGGCATGGCTATATAGCGTACGTTATGCATGTCTATCTCTCTGTCTTGCTCTCTCGCCCTCTATGCCCATCGAGAATTGAGTACGTTTATTGATTGACTTCCCTCTCTCTTTTCCTCTCTGTTTTATTCACCCTGATACAGCAAACCCTCGTTTATTTCTCTGTTTCTCTTCTTCTGCCCCCTTCTTCGTTCTTCTCTTACTTGATGTACGCCTACACAGTGGCTCCCACAGGTGCCGGGGTTATTTCCCTTCTTTCTTCGCTCGCATTTCAGATCAAGCGTACGCCTGCGCAAATTTTCGGTATTTTTTTCTTTGACGTAGAGTGCGTGGGATTTTTGGAACAGTCTGACATAGTTGGAGCCGTATTCCAGAGATTTATGAAAACGGGGGATAGTCACTGGATGAGTGCGAGTGTATCACATACAGGGGAAATTTTCGGGTTTGTTTTAGCGTCATTGGTTTATTTATTCGTATGAAATGGAGGGCTGTATACGTGTGCGTCTCGGTAGAAGATATTAGAGTTTGGGATGAAGCTGAATCCTTGAAAAGCATTTCGATTTTTGGAATATTTTCGATATTAAAAGAAGATATCCCCATGATGTAAATGCAAATGGTTATTTTTTTTAGTTTTCAAATAAATAATTATTATTATTATCATTTTGCATTATAATTCATGTATTATATTATATTATATTCATTATATTATATTATATTCATATTATAATTCATGCACTTATTATTGTACATATATTCATGCACATTATTTTTCTCCGTATTTTATAACTAAAGCATTGTTTATGAATTGTAATTGAAGTATTATTCAACTGTAACAAATTTATTACTATTGATACAATGAAAAAAAACTTTAGATTATAGATAATTATAAGAAATTTAAGTAAAGTTATGAAAAGCGATATAATATATAGATGCTTTTCTCTTATATATTTATTATATAAAGAATATAAAAATATAAGTATTTACTTTATAAAATTAATTTGAATTTCCAATTTATTCAAGTACTGTTCAATTTATTTACACCATTTAAAATTCATGGAATTTATAATATATATTTATTAAATGAATTCATACTCTGTAATGTAAGAAATAATGTTAAAAAAATAATATACGCGCATACATATTTAAAACAGAGTAAATTTTGATAAAATAATTTAAAATCTCTTTGAATTAAATTTTGATAAAATAATATTAATAATCTTTTTGTATTTATTCGGATAACGTAGATTTAGAAACATAAACTAGTATGATAATTAAAAATACTCATAATGTATATAAAAATCTGTAAATAATCATTGAGTATCGTCTGAAGCATTTTTACATAGTCTTTGATATTATAAATGTAAGCCCGTCGTTTATTACCTTAAAAAATTTCTATATTTCATTTTTAATATCATAAAATTATTTTACAGTAATTACAGTTTACGTCAATTATTCATTAGTGTATAACTAAGTAGAACATTTTATTCTTTTTATCATTTTTATATCACACATCCGATTTAAATTTTTATTATTTATAATACAAATGTCTATTATTTTTTGAAATTCAAGGAAATTATGAATTTGAAAAAGAAAAATATGCATGGAATTTCTAATTATTAAAAGAATAATTA